AATGCATACGAGGCCTGTGCTTACCCCACGTAGCACACCTGAGGGCTCACACTGAAAGCGAGGAGCGCGACGTACGCACCGTCTCTGTCCACAGATGTCAGCACAACGTAATCCAAGCCCCACTCAGCGATAGCCTTGGCTGTGTTGTAAGGCTCCTGGGGATCCAGAGGAGGTGGATTTTTTGCTGTCTTTACTGAACAGAATCTGCAGCCTCTGGTGCACGTGTCACCCATCAGCTGGAACAACACACACATTCATTTTCATGGTGCATGTCACTATTGCTCAGCTGGGAAACAGCTGCACAAGCTAAATCAGATAAATCCCAACACTAAGCAAATAAAACTGGGGCAGTGCTTTACTCTAAATTTATTGTAATAAAACCACTCCACTAGAGATCCAACAATGCACTGCAAACAGCTCAGACATTAACAGAGCACTTAAGGAATGGTTAATGACTTACCATAATAGTAGCGGTGGCTGTGGCGTATTCACCACCTCCCCAGCATTCTCCAATGTTGGGACAACGTGCTTCTTCACATACCTGAGGGTGAAAGGCTGTACTGAACCTAGATTCTTCATATTATTATTGAAAATAATTATTTTATTACTGATCAATTTCAATAGTAGCCTACAAAAAAAAACATAATTCCTTCTGTGATAAATAAGGTTAACAGTTCCACGCTCTGGAACTTCTGAAGTTGCTTCTTCACAACTGCAACTCCACTACCAAAAAAAACCTTCTCAGCCATGTAACTGCCTTATTAATTAGCACAGACTGTCATTAACATTTTAAATTTCAAAGTTGTTAAAATGTTCACAAAGTCTATGATTCATAAAAGGATAATCTTAGTCTGAAAAAAAAAAAAAAAAGAGAAAAAAAGCTCTCCAAGCATTCCCACCACTTTTTACCATCTCGAAGGTACAATTAACAAAATATACACATTTGTACAGTTCCTTTTCATGAAAAATATGTATGTAACTCTGACATTGTGTGTTCTCATTAAAAACAGCTGCATATAGCATCTTCTGGTCTCTGGTGATGCAACTAGTAAATGCTAGTACTTAAAAACACAGCAGGAAGAACATTAAATACTCTGCTGGATTTGTCTTCATTCTTTAGGAGTAAAATTCACTTCTGGCAAAAAAGGATCAGCACTGGGCTTGGTTTCAGCAGTGAAGATCATGCAAGACATGATTTCTACCTGTTCTCCACATGAAAAAAAATATAAAAAATGCCTCATTTCTACAGGAAAACTTGGTTGGTACCAGATTTACCGTATGAAGATTTAAGCTTCTCAAGGTATTCTTTAGTTTATTGTAGTTTTTTCCCATGGGAATCTTTGTTTTCAGCCATGGAGGAAGCCGCAGCCTGATCAACACCAAGAAAACATAAAGATTAATAAACTACTTATTAGCAAATGTCATTAATTTTATAGATTAATTTTAATCCCAACAAGGAAAGGTTCCTTGAAAGCTGATGCAATTCAGCAACTAATGTTATCATTCACGGTCAGGACAGACTTCTCTCTTCCCTGTTTATCGTCATGCCAACACTCAAGTGTAGGAGTTTGCTGTCACTGAAAGGTTTAAAACCGTTCACTGTTCCAGTGGGGTTTAACAGTGCCACACTGGAGACTGCAATAACAAATGGCAGCGGATGTGATACAGCTATTGCTTCTGATCAAATTTATTACTGGAAATATGGGGGCTTAAGCATTTTTTAATTTAGTCTTAATTTTTTTACTCTATACTAATATTTTTTCAATGGCAAAGTTGGCTATATTCACCTACTGATGTATATTTGTAATTCAATACAGGCCATGGCACAGGCACTCAAGTGAGAAAATAACACTATGTCTCCATGTTTTGTTATGTGTGGGTTTTTTTTCTTATTGGAAAATCATTAAATTTGCAAGCCAGTAGGGCAGAATCTAATAACACTACAGAGTAATATTTTGTAGTTATTACTAAACGTGCAAGATAGTGCCCAGAAGCAACTACAGTTGTTTAAAATCACAATTACCTTTCTCCTTTCTCACGCTTCAAATTGCCTTTATACTCAGCCCACGTGCTCTTGTCTGACAGATCTCCAGAGACAAAGTCCTGCAAGTCTGGTCCATTTTGCAGAAGTTCTTTTTTGTCCCCTGGCAAAGAACCCGATGTTCCATACTGGTTACACACATGGCTCCCAGGCACCTAAAAAGCAGCAAAACTGGAATTTATTTAATATCAAATGTACTAGTGTCACATACCGAACAACAACTTGCCCTTTTGCTGGTTAATGTACACTTCGCACAGGCATTTTTCCAATGGCCTTTAAATTAACTTTTTATTTTAAGCCACATGAAAAGGACTTATCCACCATAATACCCTGCTAAGTTACACAGTGTAACACAAATTCCCCTTGTACACAGCGCTGGTGAGGTCGCACCTCAAACCCTGCGTCAAGCTCTGAGCCCCTCACTGAAAGAAAGATATTGAGGTGCTGGAGTGTGTCCCGAGAAGGGCAGCAGAGCTGGGGAAGAGTCTGGAGCTCAAGTCCTGTGAGGAGCAGCTGAGGGAACTGGGGTTGTTTAGCCTGGAGAGGAAGAGGCTCAGGGGAGACCGGATCGTTCTGTACAACTGCCTGGAAGGAGGCTGTAGGCAGGCGGGGGTCGGTGTCTTCTGCCAGGTGACAAGTGACAGGTCGAGAGAAATGCCCTCAAGCTGCACCAGGGGAGCTTTAGGTCGGATATCAGGAGGAATTTCTTCTCAGGAAGGCACTGGCAGACATTTCTTCTCCGATTAGACATTGGAATGGGCTGCCCAGAGAGCTGTGAGTTCAACTGTCCCTCGGGATGTTCAGGGAAAGACTGGGCACGGCACTCAGTGCCGCGGTCTAATCGACGTGACGGTGTTCGGTCACAGGTTGGACCCGCCGATCTCAGAGATCTTTCCCAACCTCACTGATTTCGTAATCCCATGGAATACCGCTGTGTGGGCTGCTCTGACGCTCCGGGGCCGCAGGACGCGGTGGTGGCTCCGGTGCTGCCGAGGCTGAACCGCGGGAGCGGGGCCGGGCTCGGTGTGCTGGAGGTCCGTGTGCCCGTGCGGGGCTGGGACGGCCCTTCCCGGGCCCTGCCCGCGGCCGCCCCTCGCCATCCCCGCCAGGGACCCGCTCGGCACCGGCACCGGCACCGGCACTGGCACCGGCACCGGCACCGGCACTGGCACCGGCACCGGGGCGCTCCCCGTCCCCTCCCCGCGCGGTCTCCTCCCGCCATGCCATGCCACGCCTCGTCGCCCCCTGCCCCCCTGGCCCCGGGTCATGCGGCGGGACTCACCGGTGCGCGGCCCCGCGGCAGCAGCAGCAGCAGCCCCCGGGCGGCCCCGCCGCGGCCCCGCGGCAGCAGCAGCGACATGGCGGCACCGGCGGAGCGATGCGCTCGGCGCTCGGCCGCCTCGCCTGCTCCTGCCTCTCGGACGGCGCGGCCTCGGCGGGATGACGTCACGGGCGCGGGAGCGGCTACAAGAACGCGATGACGTCACGCGCACTCTCTTTCCGCGCCGCGCGCTGCCAGGTGAGGCCGCCCGGGATAGTCCGGGACCATGCAGGATAATCCAGGACCATCCGGGGCAATCCGGCCCTTCGCCGCCCCGCCCGCGCGCCGGCAGCCCCCCAGGGCCCCGCCAGGCCCCGCCAGCGCGGCTGTCCCGTCCCGCACCCCGCGGCAGGAGTTCCGGGCGGCGCCGGCCCCGCTGGGCCCCGCTGAGGGCGCCGCGTCCGTCCGGGCGGGGCCCCCGCCGCGAAAGGGCCGCGGGAGCCTCCAGCCCGTGTCGTTCTCTCCCGCAGGATGAAGACCATCCTGAGCAACCAGACCGTGGACATCCCCGAACAAGGTGAGTGCCCGCCGCGGTCGGAGCGCGCCCGGCGCTGCCGGCCCCGCGGCCCGTAACGCGTGTCCACCTTCGGTCCGCAGTGGGAGTGTCACTGAAGGGCCGGACGGTGATTGTGAAGGGCCCCCGAGGAACCCTGCGGAGGGATTTCAACCACATCAACGTGGAGCTGTCCCTCCTGGGGAAGAAGCACAAGAAGGTGAGTTCTGCGCGGCCCGGAGGCGGAGGGGAGCTTTATAGCTGGCTTAAAAACCTAATGGTGGTGCAGGAGAGTGACCGAAAATGTTCAGCTGCAGGTATGTTGTTTGCTGGGTTTTGCTCATTTCTGTGTTTCCTGAAAGAGGTTGGTCTGATGCAGCCACGGGACCTACTCGGGCACTGTGGGAGTGTTGAAGTTCCCTCAGATTGGTCTGAATGTGTTGATTGCGTTCCTTTGTATTTACAGTCAGATACAGGGAAAGGGATTGAGGGATATATGCTGTGTTACAGACTGGCTCGTTTTAGCTGGGTAAAACTAAATCAGTTCGTTTGTTTTCCAGAAACCACAAGAACATCAGAAGAGCAGGTGTTCTCTAAATACATGCAGGATGTTTTTATATGGTGTTAAGAAGTGTAAAAAAAGGCCGAGAGTGGCTGATTGTAGATACTTTTTCACAAATACCAAGTGTTTTATTAACACGCTAAACCCACACACAGTGTTCCATTTAAGTTGATGATGCATAGGAGACTGACTTTGTAACAGCGTGTTTAGCATTTGATATTACACCCTTCAGCTTAATATTTCGGTTTTATCTAACCCAACTCTTTTGAGGATTTGTTAGTAGCAGGACATGAACAAAATAAAGGTTTCTCACGTATCTAGGGGCTGGGACTTTGAAGGCCAGGTGGCCCTTTGGTAGTCTGTCTGAGAAACAGAGTAGTTCTGTGCTTTTAAGTAGTTTATCTGAATGTTTTGCTCCTCGTTTGTCACAAATATATTTCGTTGCTAGTTTTGAAGCGTAGCTGAAAGCTTTGTTGATGTGCTTTTTAACCCAGCTGCGAGTTGACAAGTGGTGGGGTAACAGAAAGGAGCTGGCAACAGTCCGCACCATCTGCAGCCATGTACAGAACATGATCAAGGGGGTCACTCTGGTGAGTTTTATTTGGAAGCAGGATAACTGCTGACATTTTTGTTACCTGCAGCGATAGCCTTTTACTTTTGGGGGAGTGTATCTAACATCCAAAATGTAGCTTCTCTTCCTTTTACTGTTTTTTTGTACTTGCTGTCAAGTTTTGCAGGCGGAAGAAAGCACAGATGTCTCTTGGGCTCAGTGTCCTGCCCCTTTTAAGAAACTGGTTTTGATACATCTTGGGTTTAGATTTCTCCAGTAAACTGAATGCACACGTTCTGCCTTTTGGATATGTTATGCTCTCGATATCTGATTGTGTCCTGTTTCACAGGGCTTTCGTTACAAGATGAGGTCGGTGTATGCTCACTTCCCAATCAACGTGGTCATACAGGATAACGGCTCACTTGTGGAGATCCGAAACTTCCTGGGAGAGAAGTACATCCGCAGAGTGCGGATGAGGCCAGGTGAGCATGTCTGGATGTGTCCTGTGCCAGTCTAACTGGGCTTTTCAAGCTGTTTTCTTTGGGCACTGCCACAGAGAATGGGAGATGCTGAATAGTTGTTGGAGCAGCATTTGTTTGTCTGAACTTATGTAATTTTCTTATGATACCTTTGCTGCTGTTCAGCTTTATTATTAATAAGAGTTTTGCTATTTCTTTTTAGTATTGAGAGCTTCTTATTATTAATAAGAAATTTGCTATTTCTTTTTAGTATTGATAGTTTAGAATTAGTTACTGCAATCCAAGGAGCCCAGGATGAACTTTTCTCATTGTGAGATCTTGACAGTGCTTACAATTGGTAAACTGTAGGTGATTGATTTTAGACTTGTGTTTCTGTTTCAAACATTGTACATAAACTAATTCCATATCACAGTTTTGGTCTTTGAGGTGGTGTACTTCGAATTTCCCGATTATCCAGGAGCAGGCACGATAAATTTCAAAATGCTCGTCTTTCCTGCTGATTTTACATCTTCTACACATGTGGTTTCAGCAGAATGTGTAGAGTAGGCAGTGATGGAGCTTGTTAAACTTCTGAAGGGAGGAGACAAAACATTTCATAAACAGTTAATTTAAGGCTGTAGGAAAGACTTTCCATATCCTTTTATTTTCTAATTGCACTTCTGGTGAGGGCGTGGGTAAGGACATTTAATGTGACTGATGATGTTTTGGGATGGCTTTATAGGAATGCATCAGATTTGTCCCAAAACCCTGTTAGATACAGTGCAGAGTTACAGGGATTTTGATTTTGATTTACAGTGGGATATTAAGGCAGGGTTTAATTACTGGTTTTGATTTTTTCAAGTCATCGTTTATTGTAAAGATAGTAAAGGGCTGGCTTTAAGTAGATCAAATTATAAAAACTTTTGTTATCTCCATGTAAATGCAAGTTTCCTGTTAGACACTCAGATGCCATAATGTTTACTCCTTGTGAGTATTCCCAGCATTGCTAATAAATAAGCGCAGTGCTTGACATGAAGGGGCAGGTGATTTTCAGAGACTTTTGATTATGGTGACTCCAGTTTTGTTTTATTGAACACAAGCCTGTGGGAAATGGCACCACCTGGCTGACAGAGCTGTGCTGGCAAAATCTCTGGCTTGTACACGGTGTTGTGTAGAATTGGTAAGCAGGAATATCACTTGGTTGCTTTCAATCCAGAGCATGACCTGCGCTAATCTTTAAATTTTGAAACTATGTGAGGGAGGACAACCCTGGAATGGATTTCAGGGATTCTCATAACACAGTTATAGCAGCTGATTATTGTCTTGATTGCTACTTGCTAGATCTGTAAACTGGGACATTAATACTGTTTCTTTAGTACACTTAACATCTACACTTAACAGCAGTGTAGATGATGTGTTTTCCTTTCCACAGGTGTCACCTGCGCAGTATCTCAAGCCCAGAAAGATGAGCTGATCCTTGAAGGCAATGACATTGAGTTGGTCTCCAATTCAGGTTTGTGAAAGTAGATGTGTAAGAAGGTTATATGGACACTTTCATGTGAAGATGTCAGCTTAGCAAACTCTTTCTCCTCAAACCCTGAGGTAAACAACAGCACAGGATTTTATTTTTTTGCTTTAGTCAGCATAACTGCTTTTCATAATCCCTTATGCTGCTTCTAAACTTAAAGATGTTACAGATCTAGGGAACCTTTCTCTCCAAGTCAGTATTCATGGCCTTTTTGGTACCAAACTTCTAAGCTTTTCTGTTGTCCAAGAGTGCGGTAATGAACTGTCACGGCCCCGAGTTGCCAAGACCAGCTCAGTGAAATGCATTCTGTTTTCATTCGACCTGACAGTGTTTCAAGTTGGTAATTCCTCTCTCTGGATGACAGTTCCGTTTGTCGGTTGAAATACTGGGGTGTAAACAAAGGCTACGAGTTGGCTTGGACCTCTTGCTTTGTACTAAAGGTCTTGCTTTGTCTGCAGCTGCCTTGATCCAGCAAGCCACCACAGTCAAGAACAAGGATATCAGGAAATTCTTGGATGGTATCTACGTCTCTGAGAAAGGAACAGTACAGCAGGCAGATGAGTAAAACTCATAGGTTGGTATTGTTTTAATGCACATTGTACATCTTCTGTTTAGAATTTTTATCTTCTTCAACATGGCCATGGTTAAGCAGGTTCCCAACAGGGATGAGGTTATGTTTGTATAAGGCAGCATAAAGTGTGTCATAAAACTTTAATTTTATTAGGTCTTTTGACAACCATTTTTTGTCTCTCATCAACTTGGCATTATGCTACTGTGTGGAGGAACACCTAACTGCAGTGCTGTACTCTGCACTGTGAGCGCTGGCTGCAGTGGGGGCTGAGAATTTAAAACCAGCTGACCTAGCCTGACAGACCAGTTTGCAGCTATTTACAGAGAAGACCTTAGACTAACGTTCCCCCTGGTTGGACACTGCCCTCACTAAAAAAGTGGTCAGCACGCAGTTTGTATATAAAGGTTCTTCTGTGCTGTTTGTGTGTAAATGCTGGTAAACAGGTCGGTGTAACAAGTTCAGCCGTTTACATTGTATGTGGGCGTTTGTTGCTGAAGTTGAGTACAAGGATTTTGGGATAATTTAGGAATTCTAAGTGTTAAAGGAATTCAAGTGTTAAAGGAATTTAGGAATTTTAAGTGTTTCTGCTACATATGGTTCCATCCATAGTGTAAAACACTTGTACAGGGTGGGACAGGCTGACTTGCAGGTAAGTTCCATGTTGTATATCTTCTGTAAGCTAAGCTTGAGGCAGGATGCCGATGAACTGAGGTTCAGAAACAAATTATTTTATCACCAGCCAGGTACCAGACACTTGGAAGCCACTGAAAAAAATATTTTTTAGTGCTGTTCCAAGTTACTTGAGAGATGGAACAACTTACTACCTGCTTGTTAAATAGTCATGAGCTGTTGTGTTTGAAGGCATCTTTAAGTAACCTCACCTAAACAAAATA